CTCCTCGCCGGCCCCGCCGCTTCCGCTAGCCCAGGGGCGGCCCGGGGAAATAGGACGCGTCGCCTGGGCTCTACGTATTGGGTAAGTCCCTCTTCCTATCCCCCCACTATGCCGGCCGGCGTCTCCTCCCGCTCCCTAGTCTGGGCGGTGGAGAGGAAGCAACTCCCAGGCTGGGAGAAAGTTCATCCCCATTTCCTCCTGGGGAAACTGAGGCCCAGAAGAGTGGCTTGTCCTGAGATCTCACTGACGTTCAGGAGTGAGGCCAAAACAGGGCGTGTGTCCTGCTACTCGGGCAGGGGGCTCTGGAGCATGAGAAGGGTGGTCCGCCTCACCTGGCATGTTTCATCACCTAAACCTCCACTCCACCAGTCAGTGCTCAGTGGGGAGCGGCTGTCAGATGTACAATCCCCCTCCCCTTATGTCCACCTTCCAGCCCAGACTGCTTTCTGTTTCCTGGGCCAGCCAAGGCTGGGGTTCAGAAGTGCAGCTGGCTGCCGGGCTGTGGTCAGAGAGGGGGGCCTGCCCCGCGGTCCTCCAGGTTCTCAGCACCTGGAGCCACCTTGGCCCCAGACCTTTGGTGCCCCAGGTTCAAATGCCAGAGCCAGGAGAGCCTGATAACCAGGGAAACGGGTTCCAGAAGGTCTCGTGGGACTTGACCTTTCCACATCCGGTGCCCAGGACCTCGAGGTCTGGAGGACTCCAGCGTGTCCTGTGTGTCCTTTGGGTTCTGCTGACCGCTGGGCTCCCTGACCCTGGCCCTAGAGAGGACTCACGAGGCAGCTGCTTCCCTCCCCCTTTCGCCACCCATGCCGTGGTCACATGGGGATGACAACTGACTTCATTCCTCCCCTGACAGATGGGGAAACTGAGGCCCAGGGAGGCAAAGTCTCCCAGCCACCCCCCCCACACCCACACAGCCGTCTTCCTCTTTCCTGCCTCATTCTCACTGGTGGCACTTTTCCCTCTGCAGGTTGCCCTGGGGCTCCGTCCCACACCCTCTGCAAGAGGCCATGAGGCACAGACTGGACCAGGGCCAGGTCACCCCTCCCTGCCCCTCCCCCAACCCCGGAGCTCCCTGCTGCTGTGAGTCTGGGAGCTGAGGGGGCCCTGGAGGCTGGGGGCCACCGGGGGGTCCTGTGCCAGACACCAGCTCCAGCTCCCACTGGCCACACCCTCTGCAAGTTCTCATAGAATCCTGGACTGAGCCCAGCTGGTTCCCACTGCACAGATGGGGAAACTGAGGCCCGGGGAAGCAGAGCAGCTGGCCCCTGTCCACACAGGAAGGTAGGAGCGATGATGGTGGGGAGAGTGGGGACAGCCCTGGGGCCCTGGAGACACTCCTGCATTGTCCTGGGATGATTCCTTTCTCCTGAAGACAGTGAATAAGCACCTCCTGTGTGCATCATAAGACAATAAACCACCAATAGCAATAATTTTGAGCTCTCTCTCTCCATAGCAGGCTCTGCAACTCCCATTTTCCTCACCTAGCCTGACAGGCCTCTCAAACCCTTCCCGTGGGGGGCTCTATTATCACTTCATGTCTCAGAGATGAGAAGGGAGTCTCAGAGAGGTTGAGCTACTGTCCAAAATCACATAGCTAAGTCAGGGCAGAGCTGGGGTTGAACCCCTGGCCAGCTGGCACCCCCACTGCAGCGCCCTCTCTGCTCCCCCAGACGCCACCCCCTCCGGGGCCTCCTGCTCCTGCTGTGGACCCTTCTCAACTGTGGTTTGGGGGACAACGCTCAGGTAAAGGGGGACATGAATCCAAGGGGCAGTGGACATGGGGAATTGGCTGGTGCTGTGGGGGTCACTAGCTTCCCTTCCGAGGCTAACTGTGCCTCTCTCTCCCCAAGTAGGGTCCAGGCGAGTGGACTCCATGGGGTTCCTGGAGCCGCTGTTCCAGCTCTTGTGGGCAAGGGCTCTCCGTGCGCAGCCGGAGATGCATTCGGTGCGGAGGGTTGGGTGGGACGGGAGGGAGTCCCTACCCCTCCTCTCCTGCCAGCCCAGCCCAGCCCCTGGCCGCACCCTCCGCCTGCCCACACATGCTACTCCTTTTAATCCAGCTGATTCAGCTGGAATGTGGGTAGGGTTGGCGGGGGTGGATGGATGGGCAGGCTGGCTCTGGGGAAGGGGTTCCTGGAGGTCCTGACCAGGGTCTGGAAGCCCTGATCCTTGTAGGTTTCCCGGGGAAGAGCTATGCTGGGGGCACACTCACGAGTACCGCCTCTGCCAGTTGCCCGTAAGTTCTACCCGCCTCCAAGACTGAGTCTTCCCTGAAGCCCTCCTGCCTCCCTACCCTTGCTGCCAAGTATGCTTGCCACCATGCCAGAATTTCTGGGTATCCCCAGGGCCATGTCAGCCTCTGATCCATCCATCTCCGTCCCCAGGACTGTCCCCTAGGGGCTGTGCCCTTCCGAGACCTCCAGTGTGCCCTCTACAATGGCCACCCTGTCCTGGGCACTCAGAAGACCTACCTGTGGGTGCCCTTCTATGGAGGTGAGTAGCCTACCTTCCAGTTAGTTGAGAGCTGGCAAGGAAAAGTGGCTGCTAAGAAAGAAGGGGAACTTGGAGGGTTGCAAGAAGGGGGCATTAGCACTGGGGCTTTGAAGGATATGTAGGAGTTGGTGAGGTGAAGCAGTGGGGAAAAGCACATGTGAGATGTGAAGCAGGGGCTCAGGGAGGCAGGGTCTATTATGCACAGGGTCGAACACCGGGGTGAGGATTTACTTGGAGCTGTATCCAGAAGCCAACAGTTTTCAAACTTACCCTAGCAGCAGGAAATGGTGCCACACTGAGCTGAAAATAGTGAGTTATATAACTTGTGCCCGGGGCAGTCCACCTCCAGATTTAAGGGAGATAGGCAGTTTCAGACGCCATGGTGGGAGCAGACACAGATAAGAAAATCCTAGAATGAAGAAAGTTCCATCATAGATTTTTTTCCACCTCATGGATTATTTTTTTTCCTTCGCCTCAAGAATTGGAGGGAACTTGTCATGGTCCCACCCCCACAGAGGCCTGTCATGGCCAGCTCGGGCTCCAGTCCAGGCAGGGTCTGCCAGCCAGCCTCAGGGATGTGGGAGCCAGAGAGAGCTAGAGCAGAAGGGAGCAGGGATCGGGGCTGGTGTTCTGTGGGTGTGATCTGACTGTCCACTGCAAGTTAGAGAGGGAAACTGAGTCCCAGGCAGGGCCAGCAACACACCCGGGCTATGTAGGACTCAGACAGCACTGGACAAATACTTTTTATGGGTCACCTGCTGGGTGCAGGGCCCAAGTACTGAGTGAGTTCTGCCCACTGCTATACCCCAGAGCCTAGAACACTGTCTGGAAAATCCTAAGTTCTCAGCAAGTGTTTGTGGAATAAGTGTTGTAGAATGAAAGAATGAGTGCAGGATGGGTGATGATGTTAATAATGGAAACATGTAAGGACCCCCTAATATTAGGACTTAACATGAATGAATGAATGAACAAATGAGTGCAGGCCTAAATACTGGCCTGGGAGAGTCCCGGGGAACTGGAAGAAGAATGCCTAAGTTCCAGTCCTGGCTCTGCCTCAGCCTCTGTGTGTGGCTTTGTCTGTCTCTGGGCGTCATCTGCCCAAAGGGATTGTTGCCTGCGGGAGACTGGCAGGGAGGGGGCTGGAACTCAGATAGCGGTCCCCCGGCCCACCGGCTCCTCCCGCCCCCCAGCACCCAACCAGTGTGACCTCAACTGCCTGGCAGAGGGGCACGACTTCTATCACAGCTTTGGTCGAGTACTGGACGGTACCCCCTGCAGCCAGGGCTCCCCAGGGCTCTGTGTGGCTGGCCGCTGTCTGGTAAGGACTCCAGGCCCAGCCCCGTCCCCGCCCACCTCCATCAGGGCCCCGCCCTTCCCTAGATTTCACCCTAGGCTCCTTCCTCCAGGCCTCGCCCCCAGGTCCCATTCATTTAGTTCCCGGTATGGCCTTCTTCCCTTGGCCCCACCCCTTAGCAACGCCCCGCCCTCCCGGCCTCCACCTATCATCACTAGACTCCACCCCCAGCCTCCTCCCACTGGGGGCCCGCCCCCAGTCCCACCCTTTCAGTTCTCGGTCCCGCCCTCTTCCATGAGCCCCCTCACCCCTCCACCCTCGCCCTCACAGCGGCCCCGCGCGCGTGTCCTCCCCACTCCTGTAGAGCGCCGGCTGTGACGGTTTGCTGGGCTCGGGCGCCCGCGAAGACCGCTGCGGCCGCTGCGGTGGCGCCAACGACTCCTGCCTCTTCGTACAGCGCGTGTTCCGTGACGCCGGTGACCGCCCACCCCTTCCTCACTCTGTCCCTGAGCGGGCCCTTTAACGAAGTCCCGAGCTGAGCGGGCAGTCTGCGGCCCGCCCCCCCACTCGTCATTATAATTGGCCACCGCCAGATTGTCCCGCCCTTCGCAGAACAGATGGGGCCTAACTCTTTCGCTGCCGCACTCAAGCGACAGTAAACGTAACTCCGATGCTTTAGGAAGCGTTTTCCGAGCACCAGGGCCTTGGCTAACCCCCGCACCGCAGCACTTCACTTAAGCCTTAAATCGTCCTTCAAATACACCCCAACCCCACCCTGTTCCCAACACTTTTCTTCCCTCCCGCCCAGGTGCTTTCGCTGGGTACTGGAACGTGACCCTGATCCCTGAGGGCGCCAGACACATACGCGCCGCCCACCGGAGCCGCAACCACCTGGGTACCGCAGGGTCCGGGAGGGAGGCGCCCTGTTGGCCGCCCGGATCCAACGGGGAGACTGAGGCCTAGGGAGGGGGACGCCAGGGTAGGGAGGCGGGCCAGGCCTGTTCCGGGAAGCCCGGGCTCACCCTTCCCTTGCAGCGCTGATGGGGGGCGACGGGCGCTACGTGCTCAACGGGAACTGGGCGGTGAGCCCGCCCGGGACCTACGAGGCGGCGGGCACCCGCGTGGTTTACACCCGCGCCACGGGGCGGGAGGAGACGCTGAGCGCCGCCGGGCCCACCTCCCAAGACCTGCTCCTGCAGGTACGGGCGGGCCTCTGAGGGGGCAGCTGGACACGCTGCGGTGGTTATAGGATCTGGGAGGAGGCAGGGGTCAGAGTGTCAGCGGGAAGGCTGGGCCATCATACCTGGCTGCAGCTCCCTAGTGTGTGACCCCCTCCCCAGGTCCTCCTGCAAGAGCCCAACCCCGGCATTGAGTTCGAGTTCTGGCTCCCCCAGGAGCTCTACAGTCCCTTCCAAGCGCAGGCACGGGCCCTGGGCTGGCCCCTGTGGCAGCCACAGCCTCGGGAGGTGGCACCTCGGCCCCCTGAGCCTCCTGCAGCCCCCACCGTTATCCTCCATCAGACCCCGACCCCCACATCAGGTGAGGGGACAGCCTGGGTGGGAGCAAGCAGGGAGGTAAGGCCTGTGCCCCTGATGGCACTGCCTCCACAGACCCCTGCCCACCCTGTCCTGACACCAGAGGGCGTGCCCACCGGCTGCTCCACTATTGCGGCAGCGACTTCGGTAAGACACCCCTGACCCCAGCCCTCACCTGACCCTTCACTGTCCCGAACTTGATCCCTGTCCTGCCAACCTCTGACCCTGGTCTGATTTTACCCTTGACTCCGTGACCTGACTCCAACTTGACTCCTTCTGACCTTAATTTGACTCCTTGATTTGACCCTTTGCCCTAATCTGACCCCTAACCCCTCGTTGATCCCTGACCTGACCCTGACCCCAACCCCAGGCCTTGGCTACCACAGACCCCAAGGGTCCCCGATGCCCCTCTTGACCCCTAGTTCCCTTGCCTGGCAGTGGGTGTGTGGATGGGGCCCAGGGCAGAGCATCCAGCCGGCCTTAGCACCCGCCCTGCCCACAGTGTTCCGGGCCCGAGTGCGGGGCCGCCTCCGCCAGGCCCAGGAGACCCGCTATGAGGTGCACGTGCAGCTCATCTACAAGAACCGCTCACCGCTGCGTGCTCTTGAGTACGTGTGGGCACCGAGCCGCTGCCCCTGCCCAGTGTTGGCCCTCCATCGCGAGTACCTGCTGGCTGCCCGGCGCCTCATCAGCCCCGATGGCACTCAGGACCGGCTGCTGCTGCCCCACGCCGGCTATGCCCGGCCCTGGAGCCCTGCCGAGGATAGCCGTGTCCGCCTGGCCGCCCAGCACTGCCCTGTCTGAGCCCCTAGACCAGGCCTCAGCCACACACCACGAGGAGGACATGCCTGACTAGGCTCAAAGTCAACATATTTCCCCTCTTGGCATAGCTTCCAGGGAGCTTTGGAGTATCTCCTACTTGCAGCTATGTGACTCCTCATTACACCCGCTTCTACTCCTGCATTCAGATCCACTGTTGCAAGCAGGCAGGTACTGATGAGGACACACTGAATTGACTCTTTAACTTATTTCCTCTCTCACCCTGGCTGCCAGGAAACTTACAGCTATTTTACACTCAGAGACTTTGTGTCTGCTTTTATTCCCTTTGCTTCACACTCAGTTGATTAGACGCTGTCACAAGCAAGCATGGCTTGGAGGAAGACATGCCTTAAAGAGACACTGTAATGTATCAGTTTCCCTTTTTGCCCTAGCTACCAGGAAACTCATCACTGTTTAACTCCCTGACACTCTGTCTCTCCCTTCTCATTGCCACTTACACTCGCACCCTCACCTATTCAGAGACTCTGTCACAAACAGACATGACCCCTAGAAGACATGCCTACCCAGGCAATGTTAATTCACTGTAACATACCAGTTTCCCCTTTTACCCTGGCTACCAAGAAGTTCAGAGATAATCTTGACAACTTCAGCAGCTCAGGGCAGGGAAGGGTTTCCTCCAGGCAACACTGCTGTTCATCCCTTTTTTATTCCTATTAACTTTTACAAACACTTTTTCTTAACAAGGTCACCCCAGTTACACATACTTGGCTGCAGAGACTTCAAGATGCGCTGGCAGTCTGACTCACAATGGAGCTCTCACCACATATACACACGTGACCACATGCACTCCTGGTCCAGCCCCCACTTCCTCTCAGCATGTCTGACCCTGGGTGGGGGAACAACAAGGACAGGGAATATGAGGATAGGGGCACGTGGGGCTTCCATAGGTCCCAAGCGTCCTCCCCATGCCCCTTTGGGGGCCGCATGTTCATCTCAGGCAGTTCTCAAGACCTGCCACTCCAAGAGAGGAGGCAGTTCAGAGCCCCTGCCCTCAGCCTGTGCCCTGTCCTTGTGTGTCCTGGGTATAATTCTAGAGCCCAGAAGGCAGGCCTAGGTCACGTATTGATTGGCAGTGTCTGCTCTTCTGTACCATCCATGGTTGGCTCAGCCTTGGACCCTGCGGGTGACCTCAGGCCAGGCCCTGCCCCTCTCTCTGCCTCCCCGTCCCAGTGCCCTTTCAGGCTCTCCTGGCAATCACACTCTCCTGGACTCTTTCCCTAGCCCCTCCGTTCACTCACACTTTCCTCCAAAGAGTCCCTCCCAGGGACCCAGCAGCACCTGGGACAGCCCAGGACTGGAGAATCCCCAGAAACGCCCCCT